TATTTCTCCTCTGTCTCCTGATAGCTTTTCCAAGGTACAGCACATTTCCCTACACACACATGCACATTGGTATTGCAATTGGAATTAAGGATTATGAAAAGAGAAAAATCAATGCAAAGGGAAAATTATTGTAGGGCAGTCAGGGAAGTATTGGAAGTAATAATTGTCAAAAACATCATGGTATTGGTATTAAAAACAGACACATTGGTCAATGGAATTGAATTGAAGACCTATACATAAATCAACCCACATATGAACACTTCATTTTTTATAAATCATCCAGAAATACACACTGGAACAAGTGGTGCTGGTCTATTTGGTGTCTGTATGTAAAGAATGCAAATAGACACAATTAATGCAATTAATTATCCTGTACAAAACCAAACTTCAAACGGATCAATGACCTCAATATAAGACGAGATATACTGAATCTCAGAGAGAAGAAAGTGGAGAGTAGAATTGAACTCATTTTCACAGTAAATGACCTTAATAGATGTTCACAAAGAACATCAATTAATAAGTGGTTCCACATGAGGTCAAAGAAGTTCTGTACAACAAATACACCAGAATTTGTGCCAAGTGATAGCCTGTTTATTGGGAAAATATTTTTTTAAGAATTACACATCTGATAGATGGCTAATATATACAATGTGTAAAAAACTCAAAAGAAAAGTTAACATCAAGAAAACAAATAAGACAAAATGGCATTTTCAAAAATTGTTCAACATCTTTAGTCATCAGAAAATGCAAATCAAAACTACATTGAGATTTCATCTTACACCAGTCAGAATGGCCAAGTCAGTAAAACAAAGGGCAAACATACGAGGAAAGGGGAACATTTTTCAATTGCTGGTGGGAGTGCAAACATGTACAGACACTATGGAAATATTGGTGTCAGTTTCTCAGGAAGCTGGGAATAGATCTACCTCATGATCCAGCTACAAAACTCTTTGGTTGTATCAAAAAGACTCTAAATCCTATTAAAGAGAAGCTTAACCATAAAAACATATGTAGATATTGAATTCAGATATAGCCCCTGCTAGCACTGTGAGGACTCCCGCAAGAAGACCAATCTACACCTAAGTAAAAAAGGTTCAGAGCACCTCAGTTAATCTCAAGAAAGCTCCTTGGTTGGTGGTTCAGTCTCTTTGAGACCTTATTATCTCGGGTTAGTTGGTTCTGTGGGTTTTATTTTGGTATTCTTGACACCAGTGGCTCCTACAATCTTTCCTAACCCTCTTCATAAGGGACTCCCCAAGATCTGCCTAATACTTGGCTGTTGGTCTCCAAATCTGTTTCCCTCAGTTGCTGCGTAAAGCCTTTCTAGTGACTGTTGTACCTGGTATCAATTTCTCTGTATCTGTGGGTTGTAGCATGGTTCTCCCTTTAAGGCTGATTCTTTTTTATTTTGCAGATGAGGAAAGGTAGTCATGTCATAATGGCCCTTACTTTTCTTTTTTCTCTAATATTTATTTAAATTAGAAACAAGAGTGTTTTACATGTCAATCCCAGTTCCCACTCCCTCTCCTCTTCCCCTGCCCGCCCACAAACACCCTACATATCCCATACCCTTTCTGCTGCATACAAAGTTGTGTATAGTTCCAAGGTCTGTCAAGAACTGTGATGGAACTTTGTTAAGAATTTCACTTAATCTGTAGATTTTTTTTTGGAAAGATGGACATTTTATTATATTAACCCTGCCAATCTGTGAGCATGGGAGATCTATCCATCTCCTGATATCTTCTCTGATTTCTTTCTTTAAAGACTTGAATTAACTTAGTTCAGGTCTTTCACTTATTTGATTAGAGTTACCCCAAGAGATTTTATATTATTTGCAGCTATTGTGCAGTGTATTGTTTCCCGGAATTCTTTCAAGCCTGTTTATCACTGTATCATTGTATATAAGAGGCCTACTATTTTATGAACTAATTTTATATTCAGCCACTTTGCTGATGTTATGTATCAGTTGTTGGAGTTCCGTGGTAGATTTTTGTGGCCCCTCATATGTACTATAATATCATCAAATAATGATGCATTGAATTATTCCTTTCCAATTTGTATACTCTGATATCATTCAGTTGTCTTGGTGCTCTAGCTAGAACTTCAAGTACTCTATTGAATAGATATGGAGAGAGTGGACAGTCTTGTTTTGTCCCTGATTTTTGTGGAATTGCTTTGAGCTGCTATTTAATTTAAATTGGACTATCAACTTGCTATATATTGACTATTTTTGTTTTTTTGAGACAGGGGTTATTTTTTGGTTTTTTGTTTGTTTGTTTGTTTGTTTGTTTTGGTTTTCCAAGACAGGGTTTCTCTGTGAATCCCTGGCTGTCCTAGAACTCCATCTATAGACTAGACTGACTTACAACTCAGAGATCCTCCTGCCTTTGCCTCCTAGTGCTAGGATTAAAGGTGTGAGATACTATACCCAACTGCTTGGATACTTATTTATTTATTTT